TGCACGTGTGGCTATATGTACCCTTACTGTAATTGAAAAACATAACTATCTAATAAAACGTTCCCAGCCAAAGAGGTTACCTTAATATCAGAAAAAAAAAAAAAAACAATAGTCTACCTATTTGAACTAATAAAGTGTCAGAGATTTAAGTGATCACCTCAATATTTTTTTTTTAAAAAAAGTAAATACAGTATTTAATATTTATATAATTATTGTATAGAATTATAATTATACTACTCAATAGACAATACCTAAGGTCTTTGAACAAGTAAAAGTTATTAAAATACATAAAGAATCTCGAAATTGTAAAATTTGACAAGCTATCACTGAGTGAATTGTTGTTGACAATATGTCATTTAACATTATTAAGGGAAAGAATTATTAGAAAATAATAAAAATTATTGACCTGGCCTTTCATCTTTTTACTAATAAAGGAATAAAAAAAAAAATATTAGTAACTATCCAAATATAGTTAAAAACTTAAAAAAACTATTAGATAATACATGTTAATTAGTATTTTTAATACTTGATCTGTGAACTTCTAAGAGTAAGCATGAGTACATAGACATAATACTCTATTGGTTATCGAATGATTTTAGAGTATATGATTAGTTTCTATGTATAGAGCAAATGCTATATCCGCATTTAGCAGAAAATATAATTTCAATTTTAAAAAAAAAAGTTTTTGAAATTGGGTTAAACAAAAAGATTAGTTGTGCTATAACAAATAAAAGCAGTAATATAATTAAGCCAATTAGCTTGTAGGAAGGAATTGAGCATTTTTTTGTGCAGCTCACACTTTGCAGCTCTTAGTTATATATACTTTTAAAAAAACAGATTTTTATATTAAAAGAATAAAAAAATTAGTTTAATTTTTTACTAACTCTCCAAAGCAAAGTAAGTATCTAGATAATGCACAACAAGAATTTTAGCAGTATTTGCAAACTCAAAATAGTAACTCAACTAATATATCAAGTTCTAATAATAGTGATTCAGATGACTTGCTAGCAAATTCTGAAGAACCTATTCTATGAAGCATTGCAGATATTGAGACTCAGTGGAATTTGAAATACTATTTATGGAAGCAGCTGCTTAAATTGTATAAAGCAATTGAATAGTTAGATACAACACTACCTTTATCTTATAATTCAGATAATAGAGCTAATAGTCAAAAGCTAAAAAAACTACTTTTATTACTCCATGAATAGGATTTATTAAATCAAATTATAACTTTAATGAAGCCATTTGATAATGCTACTACTTATTTTAGTAGCTCAAAGTATACTACTTTATCAATTATTTACTCTTTAACTCAAGCTCTTAAATACACCTTCACTGATATTGAAATAACAGAAGATATTTTAATTAAAGTGAGTAATTATAGTAAAACAAAATAGAAGTTATTAGTAGAATTCTGCAAGTGCTAGGCATAGTACTAAAAAAACATAATATTTAGTATGCAAACACTATACCATGCCTGGCACTTGCAGAACTCTAGTTATTAGTATGATATTAGTAATAAGTTTAAACAAATATGCCAAATTTTTGTTATGAAAAATCATCTGATAATAATAGCAAAAAGTCAGATATTGATACTTTAGAAGTTCTAATAAATATCGTCAAGCATATTCTTCTGGAGTTATTTCTACTAATTCAACTAACAATTTACAAAATACCAAAGTAATTAAAACAATGAAAAATATCATTTATAATTTCCTGTTTGATTACTAGAATAAATTTGTAATAACTAGTTTATTAGTATCACTTTTAAACTCCTGCTTAAAAACACTTTCTAGTTGGGACAATATAACTTAAAAAAAAGCTAAAGCTAAGTTAACATGCCAATTTGAGTTATTAATTGCTTCAAATAATGAACAAACAATAACATCAACAAATATAACAGTAATATTTGCTATAGTCGATTACATTTTTCAATTTTTGGTACTTCAAATAATATTATATCTAGTCTTTTAAATGAATTAGAATGTTACTTGAATTCTGTACAAACTTGTATTGCTGAAAATAATAAAAACCCATTTGAACAGTAGACAAATTGAAAAACTAAATTTTCTAATATAGCAAAATTAGCTCAAAGGTACTTATCTATTTCTGCATTCTATATCTAGTAAAAGATTATTTTTGGATGCAAGTAATTTTATTACTGCTAAGCACAATTGACTAAATTCAAAGCTTGTAAGCAAAATTATATTTATAAAAAGAAATTCTGATGTAATTTCATTGTTTTAGATTTTTTAGTTAATAAAAAATTTTAAAAACTACCAAATATAAAATGTATTTATAATTTATTATATATATTACCAATTAGATTTTTTGTAGATTAATTTAATAAATAATAGCCTAAAATCTAATTATCTTCTAGTAGTATTTATTTAATTAATTTACAAGATAAAAAAAGAAAATACGAATAAATTAAATATTTAATATACTAATTATAAATAAGATATTGAGATATTAAATTGTTACATAGTATATACTTAATTATTTGTTTATTTTTTTTAGATTTTTTAATTAATATATATAACCCAGTTTCACTCAGATTACCTGATTTTAATTTATACAAGTAATCGGGTCAGAAACTTAAAATATTTATTTGCTCTTCTGCTAACAGTAACAATAGTTAAAATGGATACTGGGTTGTTGTAAACTTATACAAGGGCAAAAGTAAATAATATATATCTAATTAGAAAAGTTGTAGCTTAAAATATAAATTAGATTATAGCAATATTCTAAAGAATAGCTTGAGATATAAACTTGATAATAGTAGCACAACAGATACTAGTTAGGAAAAAGTTACCAAACATATAGATAAATATGTGTGAGATATATACTGCTTTGTTAGATTTATTTTAAAGATAGTTAAGTATTCTAAGATAGCTACTAAATGTAGTGATATTACAAAAAAGCTATCAAATGTATAGTAAATTATATCTATATTAAGTAAAGTTAGGCTTAAATATGTTAGTAACCAGAAAGTTTAAATAAGTAATTTCATAGTTGGATTACAGATATAGCAGATAGTATAAAACTTTTAAATAAACTACTTAAATTAGATACCAAAAGTGTATATGTGGCTAGATATACTAGTATAGCAAAAACTCATATCTGAAAAATTCTGAAATAATTGTTATACAAACTATTTATATATACAATTGAAAATTTGATATATAGTTGTAATCTAAAAACCAGCAATTTCACTATTTGCTTAACTATAAGGTCACACAAAGTAAATTTTTTGTTTAACATTACATGGAATCTGAAAATTGGGTTGGTTGGTCGATTTTTTTTTTTTTTTTTTTTAAAATCTACTTTAAATTAATAGAATTATGTTCGTATTTTAAGATTATGCAAAGTTATTCTTTTTTTTTTGTATAACAAGGAATAGTATGGTGGACATTTGTTTTAATTGGTCAAAAAATGTAAACAAGTAAACAAACATGCATAATGTAGATCATTACATAAATTTAGATTTATGTCGATCTTCCCATGATTGCCTATGATAATTAACCAATTAATTACATAATATTTATTAAAGAGTTAATACATAAATAAATTATTATCAAAACTATCTTTGTTTTTTATTAATTATCGATACAACATAACCTTTAGCCCATATAAATACTATCAAACTACTACTTAACCCAACCCGAAGTTACACTTTAACTATATAATATTTAGAATACATAAAATAAATCATTAATATAAGCTTTTTATTATAATAATAACATATAAAATGGTATAACGAAGTTCTTTGGGTTTAGATTTTAACATCTAATGCTTCATTATCCGACAAACTCATATGATCATGAAAAACTTTCTTTCTGTTATTTTTTTTCATATATTACAATGTAATTATATTTTTCCAATATTCAAAAAAAAGAAACTCAGTGAGCAACTCCCTACCAATCATGATTATAAATTGTCAAATAACACTATTATTGGGCAAATTTGTGAATAATGGCAATTTGGCTTAACTAGACAAATGATTGGCTGACAAGTGCCACTTTGCGGCACTTGACAGCCAATATCATTTGTCCGGTTGAGCCAAATTGCCATTATTCACAAATTTTTGCCCAATAATATATACATTTTTTTTTTTATTAGCTGTTTTTAGCATTTAAAACTTATATATATAATAAATAGTAAAAATATTCACTTCTAAGTAAAGTTCATTTGAACAGAATAAGATCGAGCCAAATCGAAATAAACAGAATAACATTAATTTTAAATAAATCAATAAAGTATAATTTTTATATATAAGTTGAAATAAATACCTTTAATCGCCTTTGAAATTAACTTCATATTAATAATTTTGCTAGTATATATTTCATCAGGATGTGGCAATTATTACATTATCAGCATCTAATCCAGATGCAATCTTTGGTCATGATCCTTTGCAAATTTCTACTACAAATTTTTCATGTTTATTAAAGGGACCAGTCGACATTTCTACCATAATCATACCAAACCCATAAATATCAGCTTTTTGTATAAACGGCTTATCGTCTGATAAAACTTCAAGATCAACATAGAGCATGACCATAGATTTCACCAGCTAAAACCACTTCCTAAACAATCCCAGATCTGCGATATAGGATCATGTATTTTCATTAGTGCACTGATCTTGCAAAATGTTACCACTATAAAAATCTGCATGGATGTATCTTGAATTATCATGATATAACTCATATGTAGCATCTTTAAGTATTTGTAATTTAGCCTGCCATAAGACTAATAAAATTTTTCTTAAATATTTATGAAGACTTCCATTATCAGACTATCAAGTAATCTTTTGTTTCAGCGTTTTGGATTATTTTATATATTGTGAGCTAAGTATAATGTAATTTACATTCTATAACAATGAATTAGTTCAATAAACTATTAGAGAAAAATTATCAAAGCAATAAAT